AGGTTTTGAACAACCGTGGCTAAAGTAGTATATAGTTAAGCACTGTATATGTTCGAAATATTGTACGCTTGATGAACAGCAACCGCTTGAATTGCGATGAATTGTAGTTTATTGTTACGATCAATTCCGATTTTCTGTATCATTTCGTTCTGAGTCTTCGTATCGTATCGTATACGACGAGGGAAAGAAGAAACTCTGTAATGTGTAAGTTCGTTTCGTTGCGAAATACACATTATTACGATAGTTTTAAGAACAAGTATGTTTTTTTTAAATTATAATGGTGATTAATTTAATACGAAATTCGTCAGTGAATAAACGAATTACACGTTTGCTTCCGTTTTCGATTGGCTCTAGTGAATCGAAGACAATGAAATAATTGTATTCCTTTTTTTCTTTTTGTTTTTTTCTTTTTTACGTAATCTCCTTTCGTCACGCATGTAAAATTTGAACAAACGACGCAATAAAAATTTCGTATTAAACTTCACGTGTTATACAGGCTCAGTATGTCAGTGCTGTTTGTAATCCTGGGAATACTAATCTCATCTGTTTGTCGTACAACACCTTTCTTTCGTCGTGACTAATTACAGGTCGAATTAAAATAGAAGACAGATGTTAGATGTAACTCTCGATTATTAACGATCGTTTCATTCGAATTCATTTACGAATAGAATAGAGCCTCTCGCATTCAAACAAACGGAGATATAACATGAATATTATATATATATTTTTTGAAATATCTTAGTTTTTTTTTTTGCATAAATGTAAGAACATTTTTGTTGCATTTCGAACCATCTTTTTCATTTGTTATTTGTACAAAAATTATATCTACATGTTCGTTCTTCATAAACGAAATGTATTGAACATAATCTCTTCTATATCGTTTTCTTTTAATCTAAAAATCTTGTATTTCATATTTTAGCATATTCTTTTCACAAAATGACATATGGCTACTCTGTGAATGAGGATATGAGAGGTTCTACTGTAGGTATTTTTATTAGCAAAAATTTTCGATAAATGGAATTAATTGAAAAAAAAATATATATATAGGTCAGCCAATTTACTGGATTTCAAAATTTGCGTTCAATTTCTTGTCACCAGAAACAAATATCTAAGCCGTATCACACTGTAGTTAGTTGAATAGCCTATCGTTAGTGGCCAGAGTTTATTCTTCATTCTGAATGGTGAAGAATTTTTAAACGCTGCACATTCTCTGGTCCATTTTCGAAATTAGCGTGACCAGTCACCATCTCGTGCATTTCTGATTCGTTGTAGTAGTACTGGTTAAAACTCGATCAGCACGCATCCCTTTTCCATTCTCGATCACGAACAGTCGTGCATGTACAGTAAAGATGAAACTGAACAGTCCCCTTTTTACGTCGTTTAACTCTCAATTGGTATCATTGGGACATCGGCGACCAGCAACAGTTCCAATCGAGTTATTTAATCATGAAGCACTTTATTCCTGTTCTATATTTTACATGACGTTTATTGTAAAATATGGAATAAATTGATTAATTAAATTATCGATCATTTGTTTTCACAAGTTCGTATTTTTACATTACAAAATATTTCAGACAAATATTTAGATATTTAATTATAAATATTTCTTTAAGTTTTCTAGCTAGTTAAATTTTATAATATTAGGAGATATTGATAAGCATTTCAGGATTCTTCAAATTTGTTTACAATGAAATTATTTTATTCGTTGATGTTATAAAACTATTGAATTAATTTAAGATTTTGTTAGGATTATATTAAGATTATGTTGACATTACAATATTATATATTAAACACTAGTTGTAAGAATGAATTACAATTTAGAATTTAAGAGTTAAAATTTAAATTATCTACTACGGAAAGATTAAGTAACTAAACTCGAATTTAATTCAAATTTAATATCAACGGTCATCTGTGACTCGAAAATATCAATTGAGAGTTAACGTAACGCTTTTCTGACGACCGCCGGGCAAAAAATGTTTACCGACGAAGCCGAGATTTTTTAGAGGAAAGTTTTAAAGGCGGATCTTACAACATACACATACACACACACACACACACACAC